GGGAACAGATTCTCTGGAATTTCATAATAGGCTCTGCCGATGGACTTTTGCTCTGACTTCGCGTTTTATCTTGTGTTAGGAGTGTTTTCGTTTGAGCGATGTCTGATTTTCTGTACATAGATCTCGTTGTCGTCTTGACCGTCGAATCCGTTCCAGATGCTATTCTTCCTTTCAATTGTTTTGTCAGTGTTTGTCCACTCTTGCGTAACGGATCCTTTCACAAAATCGTTTTCTGTGGCGACTTTTTTTTCTTCATTTCTTTGTCTTCTATGAACCCCTTCTCCCAGGAGTATATCATCTTTTTCCGTAGCTCTGGGTTTGATAGTCCAGTTTTATCGGCAATCCGCCGTATGTCGTTGTTTGCCGCATCTCTCCTTTCCCGATTCCACCGGGCGTTCGCCTCCAGTAATTACCTAAGAGCTTTTGCTTTTTGACGGTCCTTGTCCGAATGCACTTGCTGTTTGTACAGTGGACTAGTGTCTCTACTGAGATTTCCCTTCCTGACTCTCTTCAGATTCTCCCGGGATTGGTCAATTCGTCGTTTCAATTGAGATGCCGTCAATGCCGATCATTCCAAGTGTTGGTTGTCTGAATAGTCAGAATTTTTTTATAAATTTATCCCGTAAGATTTTAAGTTCATTTTTAGTTAGTCTGCCAAAATGTGCTTGAAAAGGAGATACTTGAATAGTTTTCTGCTTATTCCACCGTAAGTCTCGCATAATTGTACTATGACATAGTTTGATCAATCTATTATTTTCTTCTAACAACATCACCCCCAATCTTCTTTTTATAGTTTGTATTGTTTGCTCTACTAAACCGCAGCCCCGATGGTCACCCACAAGTTAGAATTGCTGTTCAATATTGAGTTCTGTACAAAACATTTTTAGTGTTTTCCCCTTAAATCCTGAAAATTGATTGGACCCTATTAATTCTGGAATGCCGTGTATATCTATATACGATCGCAAGAATTTCACCGTACATTTTCCACTTGATGGTTTAGTAACCTTCACCGACGGAAACTTCGAGAATCTATCTATAGCTACCAGAAGGTACATATTTTTCCCTCTGTGATTTTCTAACTGTCCCGCATAATCTAATTGCACTTCCTGTCCCGGCTGCGTGAGCAGTGGCACTGGCCTTGATGCATTTTTCGGAATAAGATGTCTTACGTTCTTACCATATCTAGTGCAACTACGGCACTCTTCCGCTGTTTTCACTATGTTCTTATGCATATGCGGCCACCACAAGTACTGTGAGAATCCTAGCATAGCTTCTTGGCCCGGATGTCCTTGGTGAATCCTTTTGAGTACCGCTTGTCTCAGTTGTATAGGAACCGCCAGTCGGTTTTTCACCAGAATACAATCGTCTTGCACCGCCATCTGTGACCACAGTGGGTTCGTGTATAAGCCCACCAATTCAAAACCCTGCGTATCCCCCCGCTCAATGACTCGTCGCAGACGGTCCATCCATGTGTCTTCAGTCGTCAGCTGCGCCAGAAGGCTCTTGTCAAACAACCTTGATAGATTGTCCAGTGACTCCTCCTTCTGCTGTTTTTGCTGTTTCTGTTTATTGGGCGTTTTGGGTTGTTCAATTGCACACACCTCGTCGTCACTTTCAATGTCCTCAGTTGTCGTTAAATCCACTTCAACTACTCGAACCTCGCTTAGTCTCCTTTCGTTCGAAGTAGCTGGTGTGATACTGATTGGTCCTTGGGATGATTGTTCCTTGATGCTGATTGGCACTGCATCTGGAGTGTTACTAATTTCCTCCGACGTTGCCACTTATTCCTTGTTAATGGTTGTTGAAGAGTAACTACTGCTTCCCTCCCAAATAATTGCCAAAACGACAATAGTCTATTATCTGCCCCCTTCTGCTGCTCCGGTTGTAATTGCCATTTAACTCTTGAAGAAATTCTTGTCTCACTCTCCGAACTGTCCCTGTTCTTCCCGCCTCCGCAAAATATTTTTCTTCTGCGCTGCAGTGTTTCCGTAACTTCTTCCTCTTCGGAGAATTCATTTTCATTTGACAGAGAGCGATTCCATTTCGCGTTCAGCATGCTTTCCTCTCTTTCATCATTTCGCCACTCCTGTGGTGTATCCGACCACCAATTGTATGAGCGATTGAAATTTCTTGCCATCTCTTTCTTCGAGTTAAATTGCTTATTCTGAATTTTATTGACGAATTGGACTGTTTTTTTCAGTATTTTGAATCGACTGTTTGCTGAGTTGAGATGACAAAAAAATGATCGGTTGCTCTTGAAAATTTCTGTTTAGCTGTTTTGGCAGTCGCGAAAGTTGTTTTCTCTCGTTCCGGTCGAGCTCTGTTCTTTTTTGACCGTTTTGAGTGCCATAGCAACCAATAAGCAGTGATTGTTTTGGTACATTCCTTCTAGAAACTTCTAGAACGTTTTCGTTCCGGTCGAGCAGCCCAATGCCTTCTAACCTACTGCTCATGCAGTATAACGCTTCATGAAACAAATTTATTGTTGCTACTACAAATTTTTTGTCTAATTCCGATTCGGGCCAAGCATCATTACAAGGATTACGCGATAAATAATCGACTATTCCCATGTCCCTCCCCGGAATGTGAACTATTTTAAATTGATATGGCAACAATCTATCGACCCACCGGGTGAACCGGGATTGGTAGATTTTATTAGACTTATTACTATCTAACGCTGATGTGAGTGCCTTATGATCTGTTGCGATAGTAAATGATTTGCCCAATAGGTAAAGTTTGTAACTATCGACTGCCCAAACAACTGCTACTAGTTCCAACTCATTTGTTGATTATTTTTTTTCTTAAGAATTTAGGTACCTGGTTGCAAACGAGATTGGCACCCACAAACCTTCATCTGTTTGTTGTTCTAGGGTAGCCCCCAAACCATCATGGCTTGCGTCACATTTAACTCTTGTATCTCGATTAGCATCGTAATAGTTTAGTTTTGTAATTTTCGCTACTGCATTTTTTATGGCATCAAACACCACTGTGTGTTCATCCCCCATTCAAACTTCTTGACTGGTAGTTTCATCTTTCTTAAATTTTTTCTTTTGGTTCTCCTCTCTAAGTAATGGTCTCAGTTTTTCCGTTAGGCTTGCCGCGTTGGGTATAAATTTTGCTAGATGATTTATGCTACCGAAGAATGACCTGAGTTGTTTGAGCGACTTCGGTGGAGTTAAGTTTAATATTGCTTCGGTTTTAGTAAACTTTGGAATCACTCCTGATTCCGAAAGGTGATGGCCGAGCCAGTTTATCTGTTGCTTAAAAAATTTGCACTTTGAGATTTTCAATGCCAGATTTTCATCATCTAATCTCTTAATACCGACTCCACCAATTTTTCATGATCAATTTCGTTACCTTTTGACACAATAAGAATGTCATCCAGAAAGCAAAATGTATTTTATGCATGATTAATAGTTCTGTTCATGGCTTTCTAGAATTCAGCTGGCATGTCTGCTAGACCATAAAATCCCGTAAGGAATCTATATGTCCCGGTAGCTTTTCCACCAACAGTATTAAAGTTACAATGTTTATCTGTGTCTGCAGCCAATTTTAGCTGACTATACGCGTACTTCAAATCTAACACCGTAAATTAAAGCCTGCCGTTTTTGATCTCGGTAATGATTTGGCTCACTCCATCAACGAGTTCATCTACTTTAGGCATTTGGTACTTATTTTTGAACAATTACCTGTTGATTGGTTTTGCGTCTAACGCCAATTTGATCGAGTCATCCTTTTTTTTTAACTGTTTCTACAATTGGGGCTATGAAACAGTCACTTGTACATTTATTCAGCTTTGTGATGTGACCTTCTGCCAACAGTTTTTCAATTTCCATCTCCACCTTATCCTGTATATGAATTGGAATTCTTCTTCCTTTTTTTTAATCAGAAATAAGGGATACTTGAATTTTGAACTCACTATGTGGTTTTTAGATATTCCTTGTCGATCAAATAAATTACTGAATTTATTAAAGAATTTGTTTTTCCAACCTTCCGATTGCTCGCACATGAGCACGTCAAACCTGGACAGTTCCGTCGGAGCTGGTTTTTGTGTGGTGACAATCCCCACTTGTCCTTGTAAGTCCAAACCCATTATGCACCTGGTTTTACGTTCCGTCACCAGAAATGTAGCTCCTTTAACCTCCCAGCCTGCTGATCGAAGATTCGTTTTCAAAGCCCCCAATACACAGATCGGTTGCTTATTGTAATCCACGAACTTTGTAGCCAAGTTTAGCTTGTCAGACGGGGTGAATCTTGCTTTGTTTGACTTGTCCATGATTTCTTTTACCGTCGCCCAAGTTAAGAACGAAACTGGACTTCCGGTATCTACCGTCAATTGTATAATTTGATTGTCTATTCTTACTATGGCCTTTAGTGATTTGACTCTATTCCGCTTTGGGTCTCAAATTGAATCGATTTTCTGAACTTGCATTGTCTCTCCATTTGACTCTTTCCTGTTTTCACTAATTCTGTCCAACACATATTTCGAAATTCTTTGAGTCTCCGACTGATGTGTTTGTATCGACATCACTTCAAAATCACTACATGAATGGAAACTTTCCCTTATTTGATCGCATTCCTCTACGGGTCCT